GGGCGGCCGGCGGGCTCCATGCGGCGGCTCTGCGGGCGCCTCTGCGGGCGCCGCCGCCTTATGAGGCCTCGGCGGCGGCGGCGACCCCCACCCGCGGTGCCGGGCCGGGCCGGGCCGGGCGGTGACTCAGCGGTGCCGCCACCTCCATTGTGTCCCGGCGCAGGGCGCGCCCCTGGCCCGCGCGCCCCTCACCCGCGCCGCCCGCGGGCACCCCGGGCCCTGGCCCCGCTCCCTGTGCACCCCAGACCCGCGCCGCCCTGGCCCGCGCACCCCAGACCCGCGCCGCCCGCTGACACCCCGGTCCGTGTCCCCACTCCCCGCGCACCCCCGACCCGTACTGGCCAGGGAGCGCCACTCGGAGCACACGGTCATCCTGCCCTCGCTACAGGGCTCCCGGCTCAACCCTCCTCTCCAAGGGGAGCTGGCAGCCATCCTCGCCATTCCTGGTTGACCCGGCACCTCCACTCCTGTTCCCAGCCCTGGGAGCCCTGTTATTATCAGTGCAGCCTCCCTCGGCATTGGATGGGGGGGTCATGGCTGGTGCCGAAGGCCAAGGCTGCGCACACAGAACCTTGGAGGAGAGGGTTCCCTCCGGAGCTGGAGCGCTCTGCACAAAGCCACGCGCTTTCCTGCCCTTCGGGCAAGGCAGAAGCACCTGCTTCCAGTCCAAGGTGAAATCACAACCAAAGTATTAATCCAGGAGAGAGCACAGAAGTATTATTTAGATAGCCAAGAGCGACATAAGGATGTACTGGGAGCAAGAGTGGGAATGCCTAAAAGGATTAGATGTTAGAAAAGGATTAGAACAGCGGCAAATCAATTAGCTAATGTAATAATTTGTCAAATGAGGTCATTAAAGGCCACCAGTGGAGGTGTTCAAGAACAAGGGCATCATTACTTCATGTGTTCTTGTCTCGACATCCCCAAACATTTGTCAGCCTTGGGACGTGCTGCAGCTCGCGCTGAAGTTAAAGGACGCAGAGATGAAGAGCTGCTGCAGAGGACTTGCATTCTGCAGCGGTCCTTGACCCACGCAACAACTCGGGGGGCTGACGGAGCGTGAGTTTGGGGCTACAGGGCACACAGCGCCCTGGCAGTTCACAGCAGAAATGAATGCTGGCCCAGAGGTGACAGTCACCTCCTGCGGGTCCCTGGTCCAGATGGCATTCGTCTTATAGCTCCCAACTCTAATGCTGCCTGTGAGGCAGGAGCCTGCGCTATAGCAGTGGGACATTCTGAGTGCTGACACCAATGTGCAGTCCAAAAGATGTGCAAGCAACAGCTTGAGCCTATTTCTTATCACCCCGCCCCACTCTTGGGCCCTACCATCCCCATAAGCCACCCCGATCCCCACGGCGCACACGCACCCTGCGGGACTCCTTCTGCCCAGAACTCGGGGATGCTTCCAAGCTTCTCCCTTCCATGCAAACAATGTTTGCCTATGGCCAAGCACTGAGGTGTGAGGGAAGGAATGGGAAAAGCAGGTAGGTGGCAAGAGAAGCTGCATACAGTGACTGTGCTGCTAGGCCTTGAGCATTCCTTCATCTGTGATGTTCACATGCACACGTACTTATGTAGGCAGGGGTGGATTAAGGCACAAATGCTTAGAGCTTGGTGGCATAGTTTTATGGAGGATCCCTACAAAACATCCAAATTCAGCTGCTCCTACAGAATTCAAAGCATTTGGGGTGCAATACCACCAGCCTTAAATCCCCCACATCATCCTGTGCCCTCTCACATGCCATCTCTAGGGTGCACTTGACTAGAAAAAGGAACCCGCTATTTAAACTACTCCTTCCAAAGCCTGATAAGCCTGATCCCCCCCCCTTTTGGGGGGGATGGGAGGAGAAGAGTAGGGGGAAACCACACAACAGACCACAGCCATATGGGAAGAGTGCAATAAACACCCTTATTTTGCTTTCTAGATTTCCAGTTCTCATGGGAGAACTCAAGTCTGAAACCATGACCTTGGGGGAATGGCTACAACAGAGTTGAGCTTGCAGAGGATCTCAGTATGGATCAAAAAAGGTGAAGGACCCCCCAAACATTCATGTACTCTCCACAGCCAGTGCAGAAGAGATAGGGAGGAGTCAGCAGGGGAAAAAGCGTTGGGGCTTGCACCAACTTGTCACTACTTGGTCCATCATGACTAGCTAGGTCAAACAGGAGGCTTTTGTTACCGTCCTCTGACTACAGAGAGAGCAGTTCACACTTCCCGGAGTTATTGTTTCAGGCACTCCGCCAGGCAGCCTCTTTACACCCTTCATTTTCAGAGATTTTTGCAATGCTAATTGATAGAGACTTAGATTGCGAGTTTTGTTTTTGAGGGAGATTCCAGGAAACACGATGGCAATCTCTGCCTCTGCCTCCTCCCCCCTTCTGCTGGGACACACGGACCTGGCCTAACCCAAGGAGACTTTCTGCTACAGCTGCACCATACCCTGCTACCGGCAGCAGCACTGACAGGCCCTTGCTGTCCATACAGTCCTCTGGCCACTCACAATTAAAAGGGTTTGTGAGTCTTCCCATCTCTTGTCTAAGCTAAAATAGGAGTAATAGTCTGCTTTTACCTCTGTATTTTGATTCATTTCACAATGCATTCTAAAACCAGATGTCAACAGCATTGAAAAGGGTGAATAAGACAGATGTGGAGGAAAAATACCCCTGAAAGCAGCCTGCCTAATCAAAATATTTCTTTGATCCATGGGATCAAAATCCCTCCTTGGGATCCTATGGTAACCATATCAATCTTCCGCTGGATTTGAATGGGGTCAGGATGAGGAACCTGTTCGCTCTCCTCCTAGTGTCCCTTTATGCCAGAGTCAGGGCATAAGGACATCTACAGATGAACCAGATCACACCGGAAAAATGCAGAAACTAAGGCTGTGCACACAAAGGAAATTTAGGAGAGGCACCAAAGCTGGCAGAGAAGGACTAGCTAGGGGGCTTTTTAGGAAGCCTGGCAAGGGTTTATACCGATCTTGGTGCAGATGGGGGCCACAGGAGCAGCCCTCGCGTTAGGGCTGAAGGGAGGTGCCACAAAGACATGGGCAGACAGGGCAGGAGGGGCAGCCAGTGCCACCTTGGCCCTGGCGCCGGTCTGTGCTCTTCAGGAGCCTGCAGACACCCCTGTCAAACGTCCAGCGCCTCCCGGGCAGCTCAGCTGGCGCTATCCGTGTTCAGCAGAACTTTCATCCTCGAGGAGGCCGGATCAATTTCACTAGTTGGTCTTCAGACATTTACACCTCATAAAAAGGCTGCTCTTGCCCTGCATATCTAGCGTACATCTTCAATTATCTTTTGATACACCTTTGGCAGCCCATTACTTACCAGTCAACACTGCCTTAATTAGGGGCTGGGCTGTAAAAAACAGCCCTTACATCACTGAAATAAAAACGCTACAAAACAACTCTGGAGCCTGGCAGAGGGATTTCATGTTTGAATGGAAGCCTGTAGAACCCAGCAGAATAAGAGGCCTGCTCTTCTAAAGAGATCGCCCACTGATCACAGGCAGGTGTCCCCCAGGAGGGTGCTAAGGAGCACGGGGAGCCACGAGACGCCGGTGCCCTCGCCAGCTCTTTGGAGCCCAAATTGGTCCCAAAGACGTTCGCTCGCTGCCTCACGGTGTGCCCGCGCAAGCCGCACGGAGACGCGTTGTGTGGCTGGAGCCCAAAGGGCAAAATGTGGCTGTGAAACGTTTTACTGAGTCTAAACCAGAAGCAAAACCATTGGCAAAAACTGTCAAAAATGACCAGTGTTACTCTAGCTCCCATAAAAATCCAAGTGAAAGGCATTAAACTGATTTTGCATAACTTTGAAAAAAAAAATCACATGTAAGTTTTTCTTATATTCAACCCTTGCAGCAATTCATGGCTTCTATTACAAGTATCTGAAATTTAGCTGACAATAACTGAAATGAGGTTAACTACATAAAACTGAGCAGACTTGCCAAGACCAAAACATCTGTCTGACCCAGTATTTCATCTTCCAGCAGTGACCAAAACTGGCCCCTGGCCAGGCAAGGTGTGTGCATGCAACCAGCTCAGCCGCCATAGAGTATCTCTTTTCACCTACTACTCTTGTTATCATTTTTGGCTCACAGAATTCCTAAGATTGGTGAGACTTGCTATATACATAGAGAACACAATAGGCTTCTGTTTTGTGAACTCATCCAGCCTCTTTTTGAGGCAAAGTAAAATTTTAGTTTCAAAGCATCATCTGACTAGGACTTCCACGGTTTAGCTTTTTTTTTTTTTTTT